TACCTGGTGACCTGATGCCCGCTGTCGAGCCAGACAATCCAATGCCTGATGACCCAGTGCCCGCTGTCATGCCTGATGACCCGATGCCCGCTGTCGAGCCAGACGATCCAATGCCTGATGACCCAGTGCCCGCGGTCATGCCTGGTGATCCGACGCCCGCTGTCGAGCCAGACGATCCAGCGCCAGATGACCCGGTGCCTGCTGTCGAGCCAGACGATCTGGTACCTGATGACCCGGTGCCCGCTGTTGTGCCAATTGACTCAGAGCCCACTGCCGTGCCTGGTGACTTGGTGCCCACTGCCTTGCCAGATGACGCGGTGCCCGTTGTCGAGCCAAATGATCTGATGCCTGGTGACCCGATGCCCGCTGTCCAGCCAGATGATCCAATGTCTGACCCAGTGCCCGTGGTCATGCCAGTTGCGCTCGGAGCCCACTGTCGTGCCTGGTGACTCGGTGCCTGTCGCTCCGCCTGGGGGCCCGAGACCTGTCGCTCCGCCTGGGGGTCCGGCGCCCGCCGCTCCGCCTGGGGGTCCGGCGCCCGCCGCTCTGCCTGGGGGCCCGAGACCTGACGCTCCGCCTGGGGGCCCGAAACCTGTCGCTCCATCTGGGGGTCCGGCGCCCGCCGCTCCGTCTGGGGGTCCGAGACCTGTCGCTCCGCCTGGGGGCCTGGCGCCCGCCGCTCCGCCTGGGGGCCCGATGCCTGTCGCCCCTCCTGGGGGCCCAGTGCCCGCCGCTCCGCCTGGGGACCCGATGCCTGTCGCCCCTCCTGGGGGCCCGGCGCCCGCCGCTCCGCCTGGGGGCCCGATGCCTGTCGCCCCGCCTGGGGGCCCAATGCCCGCCGCCCCGCCTGGGGGCCCGATGCCTGTCGCCCCGCCTGGGGGCCCAATGCCTGTCGCTCCGCCGGGGAGCCCGGCGCCCGCCACTCCGCCTGGTGGCCCGGGGCCCGCCACTCCGCCTGCTGGCCCGGGGCCCGCCACTCCGCCTGCTGGCCCAGGGCCTGCTGCTCCACCTGGTGATTCGGAGTCCAGTCCGATGTGCCTCTGCCCGGAGTCCAGCCCGATGTGCCGCTGCCCGGAGTCCAGCCCGATGTGCCGCTGCCCGGAGTCCTGCCCGATGTGCCTCTGCCCGGAGTGCCGCTGCCCGATGTGCCTCTGCCCGGAGTGCCGCTGCCCGATGTGCCTCTGCCCGGTGTGCCGCTGCCCGATGTGCCTCTGCCCGGTGTGCCGCTGCCCGATGTGCCTCTGCCCGGTGTGCCTGACGACGCTTGCATTGTATGTATTGTTATCTGTGGGTGGTTTGGTTTGGTTCGTTTGCACTGTGTTATGTTTTAGTATTGCACTGCGTTTATGTTTGTATTGTTAGTCTTTAATAAATTATATTGTTTATAACATATCTGAAGTCTGCGTTTCCCTGCGTCAGTCACATACCTCTGGTCACACCCTGGAGCCCTGACACACTGTCTGACAAAGTGAAGCATGCTAAAAGATCTCAAAAAGCAAAACATCAAGTCATGATCCATGATTAAATAACAGACATGGTCAGAATAGTACCAGTTGTACAACTCCCGATCTGCACAGGACAATGTCTTTTGGCACACTGACAATGTCTTTTGGCACCTTTATATGAGTAGACAATGGAATCACCTCCTCACACAATGACGGTCATCGGGATCCCCGTTCCTCACAGGGAAAAATGGGAGCAGACTCAGTGGAATAGTATAAAATGGTATACAGAATTTATTATACAGCTTACATAGTAAAAATGCCGTCCATCCTCGCTGATCTCCGTTCTGTGCTGAGACCTTCTCCAAAATGGCCGCTCTGCTCCTTCTGGCCTAGCGTCTGACGTCACGACCCTGACGCGTTTCGTCACTTCCGACTTTTTCACAAGATCCCTTTTGTCCTGTGAGGAACGGGGATCCCGATGCCCGTCATTGTGTGAGGAGGTGATTCCATTGTCTACTCATATAAAGGATAGCATACTCCCAGTGAAGGCAACTGTATGTGGTACAAAGGATTTCCAGTATGCTTTGAAAGTTTAAGGGGGTAATTGTATATTATCCTATATGCGGAGTGGCACGTATTTGGCACCATTTTGTCACTGATCACAAATTGTGTTTTTGTAGAGTGTCACGCATTGCAGTGGTGGTTTCACAGGACCACTAGTCAAGTGGTGTGCTGTTTTTCACTTCACATGTGTGATGTTTATTTTTATGTGGTTGTATTTATGTCACGTTTATTTTTTTAAAAGATAATGCACTATATCTAGTATATTTTTTTTGAGGTACTTTTGGATTGAAGGGAAGATTTGGACATTGTCACAGCTGGAAGATTGAAGAAGCGAGGATCATTATTTGCACATTTTAATTTATATTTTTTATTTACTTTATTTCTATTTATAATTTAATTTATTTTTGGACTTTTTGTATGTGGGACTTTTTGATGGACATTATGTTAGCAGTATGAGACTACGGGATAGGGTGTATATGTTTGTAGAATATGAAAAGGTAGTTGGTGTTAATGAATCAAAACCTCATGCTCTATTCTATTCTACTATTTTCTATTCTGTTTCATTATTTTATTTTCTGTTCTATTCTGTTCTGTTTTCCTCCATTCTTTTCTATTCAGTTTGCCTTTACTCCTGTGTTCAAATTCAATTTTGTATTCGGATTAAAATTTCAGACAAAATTTTGAATTGTTGTTTCGGATTCATTTAAATTCATTACTATTGTAGTTCAGAAATTTGGATACATCTGAATCTCCGAATAATGATTAATTGATCTGAATTTTGATTCGCAACAAAAACAAACCACACCTGTCTGTAATGTGAAGTAAGCAATAATCAGGAGCATGTCATGTTCAGCCCAGTGTAGGGAGTGCTGTGGTCAGAAGCAGGAAAAACGCCAAAGAATTTATATAAGTACGGGTGTACCTCGGTTTACCAACGCCTCGGTTACTGTAATTTTCGGTTTACGAATGAAAATAACTCCTCGGTGTACAAATTTTTTATGGATTTTTTAACAATACGAAGTGTATGGCGGTGCCGATTTTTAAATACAATTGCTGTCACTTTCCCCGGAGTTACAGGAAACATTGTTTCTTTTAACTCAGAGAAACAAACTAGAAGGAAACTTTGTTTCTTTTAGCTGGGGGGGAAGTGACAGCTGAATCTCTGAGCTATAGTGAAGGGAAAAAAAAGCAGTAATAATTACATTTAATAACCGGCACTGACCTATAGTGACATCAACTTTTTTTCTACTTTTTTCTGACCTCCGGAACAGATTAATTGGTTTTCCCTGCATTCCTATGGGAACCACATTTCGGTTTACAAATTTTTTGCAAAATTCGTAAACCGAGGTACACCTGAATGTAACATACAATAGTAGCGGTGATGTACTGTGCAAATGTGCTCACCCTTGTACCTCCTGCCTCCAACACTTCTCACCTCTGCACCCCATGGAACCCTAATTCCACACTGCTCCCCCTGCAATCCTCTTCCAACGCTTCTCACCTCTGCACCCCATGGAACCCTAATTCCACACTGCTCCCCCTGCAATCCTAATCCACCCTCCAACTTCTCACCTCTGCACCCCCTGGAACCCTAATTCCACACTGCTCCCCCTGCAATCCTCTTCCAACGCTTCTCACCTCTGCACCCCATGGAACCCTAATTCCACACTGCTCCCCCTGCAATCCTCTGCTGTGTCATTTATGCGATCTGCAGTTGCCTATCAAATTAATTTTTTTTAATGGTTTTCTAAGAAGTGCTAAGCCTAGCTCGCATGATCAGAAAATCGTACGGAAATTCCCGCTTTTCAAGCGATCGTACGATAATCTGATCGTTCGTACACAGCTATATGAAGGGATGAAATGTGTCTCATATGATATCAGATCATAAGATTTAATCAGTACAGTGTTCATCTGATAATACAATACAAATACATGACATCACTCCCGAATGTTCTTTCTGTTGTACAAGAATGTTCGTAACGTGGCAGCCTCTTCACTTTCGATATGAGACTAGGATGCAACCCCCCCAAAAAACAGATGATCATTTGTCCAATATTCTCATTGTGTATACGGGGCTTTAGTTTTGTGGGCTGTGACCAAACTGTACTCTCAGAAGTAACCATTTTCATTTTAAAACCTCTCATTATCTGGCAGTGTTGACATTGAAGAGTACAAAAGCATCTTGGCGATGATTACTGCTGTCGATGAGATAAACCAGAACCCCGATCTCCTGCCCAATGTCACCCTGGGCTATCATATATTTAATACTTGTAATGATCCAATGAAAACTTTGGGATATGCCATAAAGATATTGTCTGGAGAGAAGAAGCTCCCAACTATTACTGTAAGGGAGACGGAGAAGTGGCCGGTTTTATTGGTGAGAGCTCTTTCTTTACGAATAATGCGATGGCCCAATTGCTCAGTGTGTATCGGTATACACAGGTAAGTGATCACTTCTATATATTATGTATGTGTAGCACTACAACAACTTGGATGGGGTCTAGGGGTATGTGGGATGCCCAAGGAACTGTAGAACTTGAGGACAACTTTTTAGCACACACTGTACAAAATGTGGAACAAACATCAGCAACAGCTAATTTAAGGAGCACCGAGTCCCCTTCGTTGTATCTCCTGAGACCCAGATGAATCCTTCCTCTTGCACCCGGCTGTCCTGAGGGTATCTCTTGGCAAGGCATTCTAAGATCTGTAGTCCCAGATGAGAAGTTGGGTGTTGCACCTTGTAACGGAACCGGAACCCAGACCGCACTGAGTTTTTCCGTTATAGCACAACTTCCCCTGTCCGAACACCATCCACGGACCACACCCTCGAAATCCCTCAGGAAAAAAGACAACACCCAGCTCTTACTAAAACAGGAAGCCAACAACCTTTATTTTACACAAACAACATGTTTTATACAGAGGGCGGGGAAACACAACCAGGAACAGGAAATACATCATCAGCCCACCCTCTCAGTGGGAAGGGCTACAGTATAGGCAGGAAACACCTCATCACCCCTTCCCATCCAACCAGACACAGAACAATGGGATGCAACCATGTGGCAAAGGACATTGACCAACCCCCACACCAATACACAAACAGTACATCCCATAATAGTTCGCTGGACAGGAAGACACAGCACAATGGGGGGTAGCACATGGTAAACAGACAATGGACAGCCATGTGGCCTAGACAAAGGAACACACACTATACACAGGACTCAGACATTCACATACACACCCTGTAACCCTTAACAGGCACAGGGTGGGTTAAACATAATGATTTGGGGAGATGATACAGAGGTCCCCCCACCCCCAAAAGTCGCTCCCGTCACACACCTGACCGCCCGCTCCCTTTTGTGGAGGAGTACTCATACTGTCCTGTCCTGTAGCTTTGTGGGTTGGTAGCTGCTTTCAAGCCTTACGCTGGGCTAGCTCCTTCCCTGCTGACAGGTTGTCCTCCCTAGGAGACTTGTGGCACAGTGGAGATCCTTCTGTCCAGCATCCAGCCAGTAGGTAGGCTCCCCTCCCTGGGGCCTTCTCCCGGGCTCCGCACTCCAGCGCCTTCTCAGTCCATCTTCCACCCTGACTCAACTCCAACAATAAACCCTGCTGCTCAGGCTCTGCCACATTTAAGGGCTGTCCTTGACCACACTACCTGGCCTCTTGCCTGGGGATTGGCCAAGTTCCCCTAAATATGCAAATATGGGCCTACTCCCCTCCTCCGCCCCTCTTCCAGAAAGTGCCAGAAGTTTCTGGAAAGATGGTAGGACTCCAGAAGCCCTGACCTGTAGAGCCTCCCAGCTTGTCCTGAGGTGAACTCACTACCTCATTGCCAGGCTGGCTCATCCCAGGCCGCTTCTCTAACAAAAATCCTATCTAGCTAGCCTAGAAGGGGCTACATATGTATTATGGCGTGTTCAATAGATGGCTCTGTACAGTCTGGGTGGAATATTTTAGAATTACTTTTCCAGAATGAGTACAGATCAGTATAACAGAAATTTGA